TACATCATTTTTAATAAAGTAGATATCATATTCAAAAATAAATAAATAAATAATCAAAAATATCAAATATAATATATAAATATCATTTATTTAATTATATTTATAATAATTTATAATTTTATAAAAATAAAATATTATGACAAAAAATAAAATATAAATAAAATAAAAACATAAAAATAGTTATATTATATCAATCTAATAAAATGTTGAAAAAAAATTTATTCGATTTTGCGACTTAAAAATGAGACTGCCAAATGAGACTTGAAAATATTTTCATTTTTTAACAAAACAATACTTAATATATAGTATACAAATATTATGAAATTTTTTAAAATAATATTCGGTATTTAGCTTTCACAGTCTAATCTTAATTCAATATAACAAAAAAAATTTGATAAAAAATAACAGGAAAAATAAAAATATTTTCATGTGTTAAAAACGCTTAACGAATTATATATAAACATAAATATAAAAGTTATTAATAAATAAATCTGAAGTATATCAAATTATCTTAAAGTTGGTCAAATTACAAGCAAAAGAACGATATACTTTATATTGTATACTTTATATATATACTTTATATTGTAGTATATTATCAGTTTGATTAAAGCATATAATATTTAATATTTTAAAACATTAATTTACTTTTCATTGAAATTTTTATTTTATTAAAACAAATAAAATATAAATTTTTAATTTGTTTTTGTTTATTTATATTATATTATTTATATATATTATTAATTTTAATAATTAGTTAAATTATATTTTTTTATATTTATATATATAGATATATATATAAAGAGAGAAGTTTGAGAAGACTTGATATATAGAAAAATTTGATATATTTTTATATTTCCCATATTAAAAAAAAAAGAATGTATACTTCAATATAAACTGCTCTATATAGATCACATTACGATTATTTTAAGCAAATTTATTAATCTAAATTTATTTTATTAAAGGAAATACATTTTTATATTTAATTTGTGCTGAAAAATATAAATTATTATTTTATTTATATGAAATTTTTATCACTGTGTATTGATTTTTATGAAATATTATTAATTTTATGTGAAAATATATTCAATATTATATATATGTATCAACTCTCATTGTTTCCAGTTTAAAGTTAAATATTGTTTTAAAGTTCTATCTTTCTCTCTTTTAGAGATATGAGAGATGCAATCAATGAAAGTTTGATATATGTATCATAATAGATTAAAATAATTTAATTCTTACGTAATTTATACAAGATATAGATATTCTTCAATAAACAAATTATGATGAAAATTTGAATATTTTAATAGATAGTTCAAATACAAATCTAACAATTGTCAAATAAATTCATTTAATCATATATTAAAAATGCTGTACTAAAAATTATTAATGAAAATGAATCAATAAAAACAAAATCAATAAAATAACATTATCTAAATATATAATTAAATAATAGTCTAGATATATAAAAAATAAAAAAATACAAGTTTTTATATAAATTTAAATTTTATAACATTATAAAAATTTACAAATAAAGAAGCAAAATTATTTACAAAATATTTATTAATTTTAGAAAATCTTAATTATAGTCTGTTATATTGTGTGTATATATATATATATATTTTTATTTATTTATTTATATATTTATATTATAATATTAATATTATTTTGAGATGTTAGTAAATATTCAAACAAAAATATTTTATTGTGAAATTTGTATAAAATTATTTTATCTCATGTCTTCCATCTCCACATGTCTTCCAATTCTCTCACAAATAATATTTTAATCTTTTTGCATTTATATTTAATATTTTATTCTTTAATAAAAATAAATATTTTTTAAATTTTTAAAAATTAAATAAAAAAATGGGAAACTTGAAAAATTTTATAAAAAAAATCATTAAAATATTATTTAATTATTTTTTTTATATAATCTTTTTCTTCAAAATATATCAATTCTCTTTTAAATAAAAAAGTCTCTCTTAAATAAAAAAAATTCTTTTTTAAAACATTTATACATAATTCTTTACTAAAATTCTATTTTCGTCTTATTAAATCATTTATTTTCTTATATACCAATTATTAATTTTATATATGATTTTTATTTTTCGTGATGATTATACATTCAATTAGATTAAATTTCAAAACCATTTTTATACATCATATTATTTTTCTTCTTTGTATTTTTCTTAGTAGTCATATTTTTATTTTATAAAGATAAAATTAATTTTATCTATATTTAAACATATAATATTAATAGATATATAAATATTCAAATTATTTTTAATGTT